CGAGTGAGCACATTCTCAGTTTCAGCTATGGTTCCTCAGCAAGTCATGGTCACTAAGAAAGACATGAAACACGGAAGACCTGGGTTCTGTGGAGGTAGCCCTAGGCAAAAAGACTCTGCCTGCAGCACCCTCCTGAAATCCTGTCATTCACCCGTCCGTCCAGTCGTCTGTCTCTTTTTCCCCTTGACACACACTTATCCAGCGCTCAGCCCAGCACCTGCGGCCAGTCAGTGCACCGTCTCCAGGGCGGCCTGTGAGGACAGAGCCCCATAGTGGTTAAGAGCGCAGGTTCACACCAAAACCAGGTGTGCTTCTGGGTGGGTCACTTAAACTCCCAGTGTCTCAGTTTCCTTATTTAAATTGGGGTAAAAATGGGATCTAAACCACAGAGCCAGATACTAGGCACTATCAGGATTCAATGAGGTGCATATAAAGGGCTTGGCACAGGGCCTGGACTGGGGGACATAGACAAGTAAGGAAACCAGAGGTGTTCTATGATGTGGGGAGTGGTGAGGATGGAGGCCACTTCCAGGGAGATGATCAGGAAAGGACGCTCTGCAAAGACATTGAACTAATACCTGAAAGATGAAAAGGAGCCAGCCCCACGAAAAATCACGTGGAGGATGGTCCAGGCACAGGGCAGGACAAATACAAAGGCCCTAAGTGGGATAGGGTGTGAAATGTTCTAGAACATGCCAGGAGACAGCATTGCCTGGGGTAGACTGAGTCACAAGCAGTCACGGTGTGTTGGGGGGGTAAGGTTGTGAGCACTTGGGAGAGCATGGAAGGCTGGGGAATTCATTCCAAGCACAGTGGGAAGGCATTTCTGGCTTTAAGCAGGGGAGTGCATGACCCCAAAGTGGGATCTGGACCGGCCCATCACTGCCCTCAGCTCCTCGCAGCCTGAGGGAAATGTGAGGTGGATGGTCTGGCGATGAGAGGAGGTCAGCACAGAGAGTGGGATGGGACCTTTTGTGCAGTGTGTGGCCCAGGGACACCCAGTTCCTGGAGCCCCATGTGGTTCACAGACCCATGGCTTGAGCATTGCAGAGGGGCCCCAGAGGCCATGCCAGCTGGCTGCCCTCCATCTCCTATCCCAGTCCCTCAAGGGAAACTGAGGCATGAGCCTGTCTAGCCCCCCTAAGCTCAGGGTGCTGGCCATGCCCGTGGAGCCTGAGCGTCTGTTCTGTGTGCCCCCCTCCCTTTGAGAAGGTTAACACCCACGGTGCTGTCCCTGCGCCTGCACTCCAGCCCATTTCTTTCCCAGATTCTATGAGAAAAACTCAGAAAGGAGTGTCATCCCTGTCCTAGCTTCAGAGGACATGCTCAGGCATGACTCAGCAGTCAGCCTCTCCCTCTTTCAATAAAGGGAACTGCAGTGACACAGTTCAGAGCTCAGAGTACAACTGAGGTGGTATTTCTGTTTAAGTGACATTAGGACAATAAGGAAATGCAGTAGCATTTTAAAAAATTCTTTATTTAAATTCAATTTAGTTAACATTAATTTCAGGAATACAATTAGTTTCAGGAATACAATTTAATGATTAGATTCAGGAATACAATTTAATGATTCATCAGTTGCATATGACACCCAGGACTCATTCCATCACGTGCCTCCTTCATGCCCACCCCCAGTGACCCCATCCCCCACCCATCTCCCCTCCAGCAGCCCGCAGTTTGTTCCCTGGAGTTCAGCACCTCTTATGGCTTACCACCCCCATTTCATCTTATTTTATTTTTCCTTCCCTTTCTCTATGTTCCTCTGTTTTGTTTCTTAAATTCCACACATGAGTGAAATCATATGGTATTTGTCTTTCTCTGACTGGCTTATTTCCCTTAGCATAATACCTTCTAGTTCCATCCACGTCATTGCAAATGGCAAAATTTCATCCTTTTTGATGGCTGAGTCATATTCCATTGTATATGTACACCTCATCTTCTTTATTCATTCATCTGTCGGTGGACATCTGGGCTTTCGCCACAGTTTGGCTATTGTGGGCATTGCTGCTGTAATCACTGGGGTAGAGGTGCCCCTTTGAGTCGCTACATTTGTATCCTTTGGATAAATACCTAGTAGTGCAATGAAGCAGTAGGTTTTTAAAGGCAGAAGTTGTTCGTGGGCCTTTGTATTACTGTAAAGAGTCATGTTTTAAAACCTTACAATTAATCTTTCTGCTGTTATACCCCCAAATCCCTCTTGTCCGCAAGACTGTTTCATAGACTGTTGTCTATGAAAAGCTCATCTTCAATTCCTGGCCTTCCTGGCAGATTTTCCATGTCTCTCATACATGAAGTGAGTCTTCTCCTTGGACATCCATTCAAACCAGCTTTAGGTTAGAAAGCCTGAAAATGGTATCTCTTTGGATTAAAAATCACCTCTCTGCAAATTCCTGTGTGTGTGACTCCTCCTAGCATTAGGTTCCTTCAAACTAGGGATCTAGTACTGTCAAGAGTGGAATTACTAAAATACTAACCAATGTAAGCAGAATAATAAAATGATGAGCAAACAGTAAATAATGTAAGTAATAATAATATAACTTGAATTATATTACGTTTTTCTTTTTCTCCTCTCTCTGGGACTTGGAGCCAACCAAGCCCCTTCTTCAGCAGGAGCACTAGGGCTGCTACAGGCCCTACCTGAGGCCGGCCTGGCTCCTCCTCGCTCACCCCTGTGCACTAAGCATCTTCCCTCTGACTCCCGAGGCTTTGCTCTGCCTCCTCTCCATCCCCATTTCTCCAGCCCATCCCTTTAGATAACACTCTCCCCTCAAGCCCCTGCCCCTTGACTTCACACCCCATGTCTCTGCTTCCCTTCAGAACTATCCTCTGGAAAGATTCATTGACCTTTGCTGTCCCCATCCCCTTGGCCTCCCCTACAGCTCTCCTGGTCTAGGCCACCAGCCTCCCACACCTCCCCCACCTGCCTCTGCCCATCCCAGCAGGGCTGCAGTCTCCCTGGCAGTGAGCCTGTCCAGAGGGTCCTCTGACAGCTCACAGGAGGGATACTTAGAGGATGAGGACTTGAGACCAAAAGCAGCAGGAGGTTAACCTCACCCAGCATGATCTGTGCGGAGTAGGGGGCGGGGGGTGTGGGGGGACGTACAGAAGGATCCATGTACCTTTGTCAGTGAGTGTGAGAGATCGTCTATTTTGTGTTTTAGGCACACGCTTCTCCAACATTCACTGGTAAGTAGAGCACAAATCAGACCACTATATGGGTTTAACTGATTGAAGCTGGGTCTATCCTAAATCTATCAAAATTCACGTAGAACAGGGAGATTGCTTTCAGTTCTGGGCATGTCTGTGAGAGAAGCTGGGGAGACGGACTGTGAGGAAGTGTTCCTCATCTGTTGCGTCCACAGCTTCCGACTTCTGTCTCTTCCCTGTTTGTCTCTTCTCTGTTTGCTCTGGTTACAAAACCTAACCCAAGCCAACTGAACCCAAGGACAGGGCTTTACCGGGGAAGGGGAGAGGTAATGTCGGTTCCCGCACACCTGGAAAGCCGAGTGATGGCTTGGTCCCCTGGGAAGGGTCCTCAGAAAGGAGGGGACCCGGCTGAGGGAAGCCCAGTGAGTGTATTTCTGGAGTTCTTCAAACAAGGAGGCGAGACTGCTCCCCAGAGGCCCCGCTTCTGGCATGCTGTAGGAAAGGTTCCCGAATGGCTCGCTTGAATCTCAGGTTTATCTCTGGACAGGAAGTGGAGTGACTCCCAACACAACCACTGGGGCGAAGTGCATTTTCTGAAGGCTGGGGGGCAGGGAGACAGCCCCCCCACCCCGGCAGGCACTGCACCTCCTGCAAAGTCCATTATACACGACAGTTCTCAATCCTTACCGCCCCAGCAGGTACCACCCGGGCTCCATGTACACGGACCCTTCCTTCCCCATCTCGCACCAGCCCGGCTCCCCAGATTTCAGACCGTAGGTCTCCTGGCTTGCTGTCCCCCACCTGGAATTCCCTTCTCCTCCCACCCCTCCTTTGTCTGGCCAGCTGCTGTTCCAGTGTCAGGCTTCCTGTGCAAAACTTCCTTCAGCAGCACACCCCTGCCATGTTCCATTCACCCAGTGAGACTGCCTACCTCTGCGGGAGCCCTCCCCATGCTGGGTGGTGTCTCCTCTGTCACCCCACCAGGCCACCGGGTCCTTATTTACCGATGTACCCTCACAGCTAGTACAGCACCTCTCACATAGTAGGTGTACAGGAACTATTTGTCACAGTTCTGTTGAAAAAGAATAAAATAGCGCATATTACAAAAGAAATTGCTAAATAATTGAAAACCTAAAGAAACTCAGGCTTTACTCTCATTGATGAAGATCTAGTAGACCACATACAATTTTAGTTAGGATAAAGAGAGCTTTTTCTCTGCCTTTCATTTATCTTAAAAATTCAATATTTCAGTGTATCCGAAATCATTTTTCCTCTGCCTCTGTAGCAGCGCTTTGAACATTTCATTGTTGTTCTGAACTCTTCTCTTCTTTGTCATGTTCCCAGAGATAGCTGTTTCTCTTACCCCAGGAGGTATCAGCAGGCTCAATATTGTGGACCCAGAATTATTTTCCCAACAGGTGGTGCCGTCATTGATTCTAGATGGGAGAGCCTGCTGACTGCCAGGCAGGTTAAGTCCCCCAGCCTGGAAACCTGCAGGTGTGATTTGCAGACGAGTGTGTGTTCTGTGCACGTTCCCACTGCGTGTGCACATGTGTGCTTGTGTTCCTGGGGGTACACATGCCTGGGAGTGTTTGGGAGGAATGAGGTAAGAGAGTGAGGGAGGGCTCCCCGTGTAGTGTGGACGCTGTTGTTCCGAGCACACGTCTGGATCCCCCTGTCTGGGTCTCCTGACTCCTTCCTGAATGGGTGGAAGGTCCTTTGGGAGCCGCATTGGGTCATCTGTGAAATGAGGATGGGCCAGATGCTGGCCGCCCTGTGGCCTAGAAACTCACAAGCAACATACCAGTATGATGCTACACTCATCTTTTCCTGTTGTTTTTATTTTTCCACAGAGGTCTCATTGCTAGCAGTTTCACAGAAACTCATTATCTGCAAGATGGCACTGACATCTCCCTCAGTCGAAATCACACGGTAAGTCCAGCAAGTCGACCCCCGTGATCTTGCGCTATCCAATCTGGGCTTGCACTTCGCGGCTCTTTTTCTCCTAGCAAGGTCACACGCCCGGATTCTTCACTTAGATCCCACCAGGAGCCTGTGCACCACTCAGGGTTTGGGCACTGCGTCCCAGCTCCAGGAAAACTTAGCCTTGGCCGGCTTTGTGTCAGGACAGGCCTATGACGTGTTGCTGACCTTGAAACCACCTTCTACTCACTAGGGGGATGCTCAGTTAGGCAAACCCTTTCTAGTAAACCTAGCTAAGTTCAAGGTGGCCTGAAAAGCCTAAGTTCGAGGTAGCCTGGGCTGAACTTCGCTGTGTTACACTTTAAGTGTCTTCAAGAAACTCAAAGGAAAATTGATTCTAGTGAACCTATAAATATATCCTACTTATTAGAAATGTAACCTACCTATTATAAGTGTATCTACCATAAATAAAGGTATAAGCCATTTATTTATATAAACGATAAATCCTCCATAAACAATATGGTTCTATATCATGGTTCTTACTATAATATGACCTTTATCACCTTTTAGCTTCCCTGGTATTTGAAGTTTTATGTGTAACTGAGACAAGAGGCTACTTCTAACAAGTGCTTCCTGGGTACCCTCTGTGCTCACTCAGCCTGTGTGTGTGAATATAGGGATTTAAAGAGAGTTGCAGCCTTCTGAGAACGAGGAAAATTACTTTAAAAAAAATCTGGATATTTGTTTTAAAAAGAATTAGCTTAGAGGAAGGCTTTACATTTGCATTGAATTGTTGTCAAGCAGCCCAGAGTAGCAGCAGGGATCTCTCCCTTCTGTGAATGATGCCAAGGCTTGTTTTCTTTATCACATGTTTGGCACAAAGCAAGTACAAATTGATACCTTCAGACTCATAGCAATTTGGTGGAATGACCTGATACTGACCTTCCAGCCCGAAGAAAGCACATAGAAGTCCTGGATAAAATATAACCATCTATGAACTTTTTTTGAAACCTGGTCAAGCTTAAAAGAGAATCCAAGAAATCCCCGGAGGCAGAAACAAGGAGGGGACATGAGCTCGGAGCAGTAGGTTGGTGAGTTAGGCTCATACCTCAAAGGGTGACCTGTGCTTAGAATTTGGGGCAAGAGAAGTGGGGGCACCTACAGCTGAGAGTCCCACAGAAGCTGGGCCCCAGAGAGATGCTTCTTCTGTGAAAAAGGGAAAAAGAAAAACTCTGGTCCAGAGAAGGGACAACAAAGAGAATTGTCTCAGGGTATCCTGGATTGAAGAAAACGCCCATAAAAAATAGAGAAATTGAAACCCCAGCTAGCCTTGTAAGTATATGTTTGTGGTGCCGTGGACTAGGGTCTCAATTCTAATACCTGTATGGAAATGTAATTCCCAGTCAATATATTGACCTCAAAATATAATGGAACCAGTGAGGCTACGATTGGTCCCACATTAGCATTCTGGGGTCCCCTGGGCTGAAGCCACCCAAAATAATTCTGTAGAGATATTTCTACAGCTCAGACCACAAGACCCCAAAAACAAAGAACAATGATGAGTCCCAAATCAAAATTACAAAACACACAGTGAGAAAAGGCTCTGTAAGTGAGCATTGGTGAACAAGAGTAACAAGAGAATCGGCACCTCTGAGAATGCAAGATAATAGAGAAATCAGAGAAAATGGTAAGTATTTTAAAGACAACAGAATAGGCCTAATAAAATTCCAGAGTGAAGGTGCACCTGGGTGGCTCAGTCAGTGGAGTGTCCAACTCTTGATTCTGGCTCAGGCTGGGATCTCAGGGGCGTGAGATTGAGCCCTGCCTCCAGCTCTACGCCCAGCGCAGAGTCTGCTCAAGATTCTCTCTCCCTCTGCCCCTCCCCCTACTCATGCACTCTCTCTCTAAAATAAATAAATCAATAAAATCTATTTTTAAAAAAAAGAAACTCCAGAGTGAAGATACAGAAAGAAAGAAAGTGGAAAAAAAGCAGCAGTGTTTAAACAGAGTGTGATGAGGGTGTCCTGGAATTGAAGAAAGACATGCATCCCAAGCAGGAAGAAGAAAAATAAATTCCCTCCAGGAAGCCTTGTGCTGAAACTGCACACCAGCAAGGATGAAACTGTAAAACCGCCTGAGAGAAAAGAGACATTTGTGCGAAATGACAGTCGAACCAACAGCAGACTTGTCAGCAACTAAAAAATTAAAATTCTAGAAAGCTGACGGAAAATCACAAAAATAATAATAAGATGCACTTGCACACAAAGATAAGAGAATTTACTGCTCTTAAATTCTAATGAAATATCTATCAAAGGCTTTTGCAGGAAGAAAGAAATGGAACACAAGGGGCAAGGGTGGGACATCAGAGGTCACAGTAAGCAGAATAATCGCATGTGAGTAGATCTAAGCGAGCTATTTAGGATAAAAATTGCAACAATAGTGACTAAATTTGGATGTTTTAAGACAAGATGAGCAAATAGATTTAAAACAATTTAAGAATTTGTATTGTACTTGAGAATAATACAGATCCATGTTTACTTTAGATTTTGATAAATAACTTGCAAATTTAAGTATGACCCTTAAAAGAATGGAAAAGCAGAGTGTTTAATCCCAAATAATCTATGATGAACAAAAATAATGTATCAGCTCAGTAGAGGGCAGGAAAGAAGCAAAAGGATTTGAAAAGCAGAGTAAATATAAAACACAAAATAAGTACATAAAAATGAGCAAACATATTAATCTAATTATATGTAAATAGAATGAATCTGTTTGTTAAAATAAAAACAGATTATCTGCTTAGAACTTAAAATCCAGCCACATAATTTTTACAAGATTCACACTCAAAATACAAAATGGTCGTGAAAGGAATAGAAAATAAATAGTAGACAAATATTAACCTAAAGAAAGCTGCTGTTGTAGCATTAATATCTGATGGGCTAAATCCTAAGGCAAAAAAAAAGGCGTTATTATGGATAAAGGGGTTGATTACTTAATGATAAAAGGAACAATTCCAAAGAATGGTAAAATAACCGAATAACTGTGAACTTATGTGTACTAATAAAATAGCCTCAAAACCTGTGAAGCAGTAATCAAAAGAATTATAGTAAACTGACAAATCCATAACCAGAGAGGGAGAGTTAACCATACCTCTCTCAGAAAGGAAGATTTTGAAGGATGGGCTTAAATTAATGAAAAGGAAGACCCTCCCCCCAAAATTGAGAGAATCAAGCCAAAAGATGGTTCTTTGAAAATTTTAATAAAATTAATAAAACACAAATCTAATCAAGAAGAAAGAAGAATTCCCAAACAGTGGTATTAAGAACACCAAGACGGGCGTAACTCTTGCCATACAGAGATTTTTGAGAATCACAGGAATGCTATCAACATTACTAGCCATTTTCTTAAAAATGTAAATTCTTAATGCTATTCAAGGTGAAACAAAAATGTAAATATAACTATATAAAGAAAATAAATAAAAAATAAAGTTTTTAAAATCCACCCTCCCCAAAAAAACATCAGACCCAAATATTTTATCAGGTAACTTGCCAAACCTATTAAAAAAAAAATAGTCCCTTTGAACTTTTTTTAAGTTTTTTAAGGGAGAAGAGAGGAACTACAAAAGTCAGAAAAGGACCATCCACAATATGAATATTATATTATGAACATAGTTGCAAAAATCCTAAATAAAATATTTACAGATCATATCCAGCACATATTTTGAAAACTACTTTGTGACCAAATGGTACTCATCTAAGGAATGCAAAGAGAGTTTGACATCTATGTATCTGATAATGTAATTTAATGTATTACTATATCTAGATGAAAAGTATTATTATAATTGATATTATTTCTTCAAATATAATCCATAATATATTTTATGTATATTATAAGAACTCTTATGGTTGGGGAATATTTCTTATATCTATTTTCTATTCCCATAGAGCCTCACGCAGCACCTTGCACAGACCAGACTTTCCAAAACATTCACACAGCCACTGCAGTGTCTTGGTTGATGCCCCCAGAATCCATTCATCCATTTACCCATTCGCTCACTTATTAACCACCTTCTGTGTGCTGACAGTTAGGCTCTGGGGACATAGGTTGACTAAAACATATTTTTCAGCATATATATTCTACTCATAGAGTAGTGTGCTTTAAAAACTTGGAAATACTTATGTATTAATAAAATTGCTACCATAGGAGGTGTGTACAAAATACCATTGGAACATTATCAAGGCCATGGTTAGTTTTAGCTCATTGGAGGCCGCTTCATTAAGAAAATGATATTTAAGTCTCTAAAAATGAGTACAGAAGAAAAAAGTTGGTATAAAACCCTTTGGTGCTAAATAGTTTTGACTTGATCTTACAGAAAATTGGAAGCTCTAGAAAGTTTTCATGCCGGGGAATGGCATATTCAGTCCTGTAGTTTAGAAAGGGTCTCTGATGGCAGAATGGAAGTGAGATTGGCAGAGTCACTGATAGACCAGAGGCGAGAAAATCTGTTAGGGATCTCAGGTAGCTGATGAAGGTTTTCCCCATAGAAGTGGCCTTGGAATGGATGGAACTGGCCAGAGTCAAGAAAACCTGAAGAGACAGAAGAGACAAGATAGTGGATGAGGGGGTTGTCACCAACATCAGGCCTTGTGTTGTCACTAGCACCATTAAGGAGCAGTTGTTGGTTTGGGAATGCAGAGGGGTCAGTGAGGACAGGTTTGTCCCCGTTGAGTCTGTAATGGGACAGCCAAGTAGAGGTGTTCAGTCGGCAGCTGGGTATATGGATCTGGAGTCCAGGAGAAAGATGGGGGTCAAAAATGAAGATCTGAGAATCAACCTCGGACAGAAACATTGGTGCCGTCATTTCACACTTGACTCTCCGGTTTTTTCTCTTCTTTTCTCCTAGGATGCTCTCATTTAATACATGTTTTATGGTGATCATGAAGGCTATCTTCACAGTTGTAAGTGCTGTTCCAAATAGAAACAAAAGAGAGCGTCACAGTGACAGGAGGCTT